GTGAATTGCTGACTGGAGAAAGCCTGTGGTTAGTTCCCGAACAACAAGTTGTGGGTATGCCTGCAAACATAATGGGCCGATGGCCAGTTACTGCAAGCCACATAGCCATTGCATGTTGATAGTGATAACGTCAGAGTAAATGGCTTTAAGTCAAAACCATTCAGCGTTAGTACTAGTCTCCGCCAAGGCGGCGTCCTGTCCCCTCTCCTGTTTGTGTTGTACATGAATAGAAGTTAGGAGCAGCCATGGCGATGAGTGTATCGTGTAGGTGGTGTGGAGACGAGAAGGTTGATGTTTGCGGACAACCTTGTGGTACTGAAACCTTCTGAAATTGCTCTACTGATCTACAGCGCGCTCTGGAAAAGTTCTCAGCCGCATGCGACGTGACTGCCGTGCGTGCGAACGTATCTAAAAGGAAAAATCTAGCGCTTTCTCACTCTCATGTACTGTGCGTTGTGCAGTTAAAAGGAGAAACAGTGTAGCCGTCGAGAAATTCATGCACCAAAAGGTCGTATTTGTCGGTGATGAAAATTGGAAGGAAGACGTGGACCAGCGAATTCGAATGACCAGCGATGTTCTGCCCAAACAAGACTGAACCGTTATGAATAAAGTAAAGCTGACTCTGAAGACTAAGCTCTCTGTGTTAAAGGAGATATTCATCTCCGTGCTCAGCAACGGACATGAGTACAAACCTTCGATCCCGGGTACATGTGGCTGCAACGGGCTTTCTGATACGAATCGCTGGACTAGCGAGCCTCAACATGAACCAGATTTCAGATATCTGAGTCTTGTTACACAGTCGTTGCTTCTTCTGCTTCTCACAGTGAGAAACAACAGGTGCGATGCTCTAGGCATACCTAGCGAATGCTTTCAGAAACGAAAGCCAAACAGCTGCTACTTGCCCAAATGAGCGATCAAAGATCACGGGGACGACAATCAACAACCTGGGAAAGTGCTAGATAAACTCTACTTTACACTCAGGTTACCTTCGGACGAAACTCAAACGCACGCACAGGATAAGGAACGCTAGAGACAGTTTGACGCTTCTGCCTCTGTGACCCGAAAGGCTAAGCAGTCATCGAAACTGACCGAGTGAATGACTATTAGACTGGAAAATATTTAAATTTTAATCCCTCGCTGGGTACAAATAAAATTCTGTGGCGGTATACTCTAGCAATAACCACCCGTAAGGGTTAGGTGCTAACAACTGTTTTAAACCATTGCTGGTGACTTCTCTACGGGATTCTCTGAGAAGCTGCGATACTTCGAACAGGATGTTATAGAAGCGTGGCCGCCTAAAGAAAATCCCCGTACCTACGTTGTAAGAACTTCAAAATTACATAGGCAGATTACCGTACGCGAGAGAGAAGTATCATGCAGCATATTCTATTCGGCAGAAATCGGGTTACGATCTAACAGCAATCTGAAGAAATCGGGTTACGATCTAACAGCCACCAATAGATGGAAAAATTTACTCTCCGCCTTCAGAAAATTTTATATGGAAAAGGCGTCTTGATAAAGGTTCTTAACTGAAAAATAAGCGACTTTTGCTTGCATTCACTCCCAAAAAAAGTATGACGAACTGCTGGATGTTCAGGCTCACGCTTTCACAACATGAAGACTTTAACTGGAATTCGAAGCAGGAAAGAGTGGAGTAAATAACTCTGCAATTCGCTTAAATAATTCGTTTCAGAACAAGATATTCCTGATGAAATGCGTATTCATTGTATGCGGTAGAACTACCTACGGTTATGCGACGAGACCATATGCAAAGTGCTTTTTATATAATGTATCGAATATTAATACATTAACTGTCTATTGAATACATGATTTGCATTCATACTATAAATGAAACAACATTATAGTACTTTACTCGACATATTGTCAAAGAGCATTCATACCTCTCCTGATCCAAGTTTGATTCATCTTCCTCCAAAATCTGAAGGCACATCTA